CTCCTCCCGCTCCGCGCTCTGGCCCCCTGCGACCCGCGATCGGCCGCAGCCGACACTCACTCGAGCAGATCAGGGACATGGCGCCGCTGCTGCGCTCCGAGGCGCCTCGCACCGGGCTCCGGGATTCGCTTCGGCGCCGCCGCGGGCCGCTTCCGGTCCCCCGCTGTTTCCGGGACGCTCCGCGGCTGGCGGGGAGCTGCCCCGCCGAGCGATGCTCGCGTAGCGCTTCACGTGGGGCTGCGGCCGGTCGCGCGCCTCAGCCTCCAGCACCTAACGGAAACTGCCCTTTCCCACAATGCAACCGGGCAGGAAAGGGCCTACCAGGGAACACTCGGCCGTTTCCGGACAGGCTCGACTCTTTCCGTAAAGCGCTCCCGGGGGCGGACACGGATTCGGAACTACATTTCCCACGATGCAGCGGGAGCTTAAAGCCAACGCAATGAACCACACTTCTGCTGAGACCGGTGCTGCGCTCGTCCGTGGGACCGTCGTCTGGCAAGCTTCTTAGTGTATGAAAATTTCCGAATTCTTGCAAAAATGCGTATTGCTGGGTCTGCCTTGGAAAGTCCGCATTTTCAGTGCGTGCCCCCACGCGATTCTGAGGCAGGTGTATCTCGCACTACCCTTTGGGAGACACTTCTAGGTGACCGGGGAAGAAAGCGCAGATACAGATGGATAGCAGCGCTGGCCAAGAAACGGTTCTGGTCCTGCCTCTGGTACCAATTTGCGCTGTGATCTTGGGCAAGGCATCACCTTTTCTGCCCTGTTCCTACATGACTTAGCTAGGCTGGAAAAGCTCTGATCTGTCGGTTCTAAGTGGATATCTGTAAGATAAGATACTCTGAGGAATCGTGTACAGAACAGGTGGTGTGGACTATAAGGGATCCAGACAAAGCAGAACAGACAGGTGAGATCTGCGAAGGCTTCTTGGCTGAAGAGGTGTGAATGAGCTGGATTTTGACAGGTGGGCAATATTCAGATAGAAGAGAAGAAGAATAGAAGGCATCCCAAGAGGAGGAAGACCACGAGCAAAGGCTTGAAGAGTTGCAGGTATATAGGGTGGGAAGGCATAGCGGCCAAGAGCATTGGACTGTGAAGTCAGACTGAGGGTGCTCTAATCCCAGCTCACCCAGCTGGCAAACTGTATGAACTTCTCTGCCTTAATTTCCTCATCTGTAAAATAGGGAGGATGATAACAAAGGTTGAACTAACTCACAGGACTGTTGTGAGGAGTTAATATTAAAAAGTGCTTTGTGGGGCGCCTGGGTGGCTTAGTCGGTTAAGCGTCCGACTTTCGCTTAGGTCATGATCTCGCGGTTCATGGGTTAGAGCCCCGCATCGGGTTCTGTGCTGACTGCCAGCTCAGAGCCTGGAGCCTGTTTCAGAGTCTGTGACTCCCTCTCTCTCTGACCCTCCCCTGCTCACGCTGTCTCTCTCTCTCTCCTAGAAATAAATAAAAAGCATTAAAAATTTTAAAAAAAAAAGTGCTTTGTACTTTGCCTGACACATAATAAGTACGATATACGTGCTCGTGTTTGTTATCATTATCCCTGAAGACAAGTGTGATTGTCTAAACCACTATCATCTCTCTTTTGCAGCAGTAAAATTGCATCCTAATTGGTCTTGCTTCCAGCTTAGCCTCCTTCTAATCCACTTTATATAGAACAGCCAGTGATCCACTTTCCATGAAAAATCTATTTCTGCTCCTCCTCAGGCGTTTCATTCATTCAACAAATATTGATTGGGTGCCTCCTAAGTGCCAGGCTCTGCTTTGCTAACTGGAGATACAAACCTTGGTGGACAAGGTTTCTGTTCTCTTGGAGCTTTCATTCTTTTGGGCAGAGGGTGGGGGAGGGGAGGTGTCATAGACAATCAACTCTAAGAAGAAAATTCTAGAGAGTGGTAAGGGCTAAGAATAAAACAAATCAGAGAAAGATGGAAAGGAAGTGGTGTGGATGGGAGAGATGGGCTGCATTAAGAAGGGTATTCAGGGAGGGCATCTCTGAGGCAGTGACATTTTTGCTGAGACCTGAATGAGGGAGAGTATTTCTGGCAGAGAAAACTCACCCCCGAGGCCTGCACCATCTAATCCCTACTGACTTCCTCACCACCTCACCTCATCTTCTCTCCAGCCACACTCCCCTTTCAGGTCCTCAAGCATACTCCCTCTGGCTAGTTCCACTACTTGTGCCTGGCACACCTCCCTCCTCTCTCCTCCCCTCCTATTCCCTCCCAAGGAAACTTCTCATTTTAAAGAGCACTACCTCTGGAGCTTTTTTCTCTACCCTTGACTGAAGGGTAGTCCCCACAGCACCCTGTAATTCTCCAAGCCATTTGGGTAGTTATGGTCGTTTACTTATTTGTTAATGAGTATCTGTTTGATATCTGTGTTCTCCACTGGACTGTAAACTCTGTGATATCAGGAATCATCATTGTTCTGGTCGCTGTTGTTACTGGGAGTCTAACACAACACCCGGCACACAGCAAGAACTGTTCTTGGTTGAATGACGAGCGTCTTGCATATTTGGATGTGGTAGGAAATAAAATGGAATCATTCAGGCAGGGCCTTGAACCAGAGGCGGTTAGACTTGGGGCTGGCAGCTGATCAGTAGTTGAGCTTTAGAGTGATAACTACACTTCCAAAAGATTCCTCTGGAAGAAATTTATTGGATGGGTTGGAGGAGGACACACTGGAGGAAGAGAGAGCCAGTAGTTCATCTGTTGGACAAATCCTTCTTGAGCACCCACTGTGTGCACACTATGAGCCATTAGAGATACCACTGTGAGCAAAGGGAGAGCCGTTCCTATACTGGAGTACTTATGGTTGTAGCTGAAGAATGGAGAAAACAGGGAATCCTTTCAAGCCTTGTGAATTTCAAAAGCCAGCCTCTCAGGGATAGAAAGGATACAGGGAAATTGATTTTGAAGAACTTGATCTAACAACTTGATCTCAGATTCCTCCCCACTCCCCCCAATCTCAACCTCCCACAAGGGAGGTAAAGATCCCCTAGGCAGGGAAGGAAGACACAGTAATAAAAAAAAAAAATGTTTTTTTTAAAGGGTTATATGCATAGCTGTAGGTGAATCCTTGAGAAAAGAACTCACTGCTCCCTAGGTCATGGCTGCTGCAACTTGGGAATTAAAGGGACATATGGGCCAATAACCCAGAAAAGCTCCCTTTCCCAGGTAGATGTAGAGGCAGCCTGTGGGGAAAAGTGACGGAAGAGCAGGCAAGACAATGCAGTTCAACTGACAGTGAGGATTAGATGACCGCCCCTCCCCCTCCCCCTCCCCCACTTTGGCTCCATGTTATTGTACACTCTGAAAACTAAGGGTGGGAAGAACTGTCTGAGATTGTTTCTTTTGTTGCTGTTGTTTATTTATTTTTGAGAGCGAGAGAGACAGAGCCCGAGTGGGGAAGGAACAGAGAGAGAGAGAGAGAGAGAGAGAGACAGAATCTGAAGCAGGCTCCAGGCCCTGAGCTGTCAGCACAGAGCCAGATGTGGAGCTCGAACTCACGAACTGCAAGATCATGACCTGAGCCAAAGTAGGATGCTTAACTGACTGAGCCACCCAGGCGCTCCTGACTGAGATTATTTCTACTGCACATATGGAAAAGGTTTGAAAAGAAGATGACTTGTCATAGTAGGGGAGTTGGGGGAAGTTACATATCTTTCTTTCTTTCTTTCTCTCTCTCTCTCTCTGTTTATTTTTGAGAGAGACAGAGCATGAGTGGGATAGGAGCAGAGGGGGAGCAAGACACAGAATCCAAAGCAGGCTCCGGGCTCTGAGCTCTCAGCACAGACCTGTCACGGGGCTCAAACCCGTGAACCGCGAGATTGTGACCTGAGCTGAAGTTGGACACTTAACCAACTGAGCCACCCAGGTGCCCCCAAAAGTTACATTTCTTGCACAGGAGTCTGTGACCAGGAGATTGGCAGTCCTACAAATCAGAAACCTCTCACAAGCAAATGTAAAATTGCAACTGTTAGAGAAGCTACAAGGTGAGACCCAGAGTGCTACCGGAGCCTGTTCCAGAAGAAAGAGACCCCTAGCTTAGGCAGGGAGTAATGAGGGTCCACAGGAAGATGGATGGATGCGGCTGAAAAACATCTGAAGAAGAGAAACAACTGGAGGAGGCGAGGGGCTGCTTGCTGCTGAGCTGGGTAGTGTGGGGAGAAGGCAGCATTAGAAGGCTGATTCCCGGAGGACGTGAAAAGAGTTCTGTTTTAGAGGGTTGAGGTTCAGGAACTGTTTCAACATCTAAGGGGAGCTCACCTATGGCAGCCAATGTGAGAGCGGCAACTTGGGTTTTTTTGTCTTTCATGTTGGCTCTTGTACTTCATGGTATCCCCACACCTCACTGTGAAGTGAAGTATTTTAGGAACTTACAGTGCTGTATAGTAAAGTTGAAACAGCTGAGGTTAAGAGGGATGAAGCAATAGTGCCTAGAATCACAAAGCACGCAAGGGATCACCTGATTCCAAAACCTTAGTGGTTCCCCCACAATCTTGCCTTTTTTTTGTGTGTAGAAACGGGGTCTGGGAGTTGGTTCTTCTCTTTCTCTATAATTGAGTGAACATTCGGGAGCCATCGGCAGGGTTCGGGTGCGTCATTGCTCTCAGGGGGAGCGGACGCATCCTCGCGGAGCTGGTACCTCTTACCACTCCCCTAACACCTTTTTTCCTTTGTGCCTTTTTAGCGCGAAAGCGCCTCACAAGACCAGGTGCCTCTTGGCTAGAACTACATTTCCCACAATGCCCGGGAGGTACTGCCTAGCCTGAAACTACATTGCCCGGAAGGCTAAGGGCTTGAGGAGAGAGACAGGCTTCGACTCCGAATTTCAAACATTCAGTTCACTTAGTGTACAGCCCAGATATAGCCACTTCTTCCCCCTTTTCTGCCAGAAACTTCCGTTCCCAGCTCGAGCTTCCGATCCCACTCTTTTTTTTTTTTTTGGTGGGGAGGCTCGGGGGGTTGGGGAGAAGAAACGTGAGCAAGAGGGCAGTGCGCATGCGCCCATCGCCCAGGGTTTGGGCGGAGAGGGGGACCGGCAAGTCCCCGGGCTCATCCCGCCTTGCGCGTGCGCAGACGATAAACCAACGCCCCGGAGTTGAGGCGCGGGCTTGGTGGCGCGTTTTAGCGAAGTCGCACGTGAAGGGCAGTAGTGGCCGGAGCCCGGTGAGTGCCAGTCGAGACCGGAGTTCGGGGGCAGAACGCGGGACGGGGAGGCGGCAGCCGCTGCAGGTGGGAGCAGGGCGGAGTCGCGAGGCCTGGCGGACACGCGTGGGGAGGGGTCCGACGGCGTCCGGCGGGGGGAAACAAACTGGGGACCCGGATCCTCGTTGCTATGCGACAGGGGGCGTCGTTACTAGGTAACAGGAGGCACGCGTTTCCGGGGTGAAAAGGGTTCAGAGCGCTGCTCAGAGGTCCGGCGGAGGCGGGGCGACTGTCAGGCTGGGGTAGGAGGCTAGCGCTGAGCCCCTCGCCCCCGCCCCACGGCCCAGCTTCCCGCCGCATCGCTTTGAGCCCCTTGGGGGTATCCCGAGCCCCTTGGGGTACCCAGAACCCATGGGCCGCGCCGCGTGCCTTGCCAGCGAAGCCACCCAGCAGAGTTTGGCAGGGGACTTGCTGTTCGAAATAGCACATGCCACCGACACCCTGTCTGGGGGAGGCTGGGCCCTGGGGAGGAAGCTGCCCCTTTGCCCGTCGCCCTGCCCCCAAACAGTTGCTGGGAAGCAGCTGTCAGGGGTTTAGCGGGGGCTGCCCCCACCTGCCGGGACGCTGACTTCATTTTCTTCAGTGGCAGCTTCGCCGGTCAAGGAGCTTCCTTTCAACGCAGCTGTGCTTCCCCAGCGGCCGCCGCATGTTTGGATCAACCTTAAAATAAGCCTCCTCTCCCCACTTCTCCTTTGCTACCTTGGCGAGCTTCTAATACTCATCTAACGAGCATCTATTAGTCATCGTTCTGTGCTAGGCACCCAAAAAAGTTGTAAAGTCCAACCGGAGGCGCGCGGAGACTAATGGGGGAGGCAGGCATAGAAACCGCTAAATTATGCTACAGTGTAAACAGCGGGTATTGGCAGTTTGTGGACTGCAACATTTCTATTGACGCTTAAGGTTTAGAAAGTTCTTGCAGAAACACATAACAAATAGTTCTTAAGCCTGCTGAACCCCGTTTGACACGGAGGAGACTGAAACTCAGGGTAAGCAATGGGCATAAGGTGGCGGCTTCTAATGGAGACTGGGATGGAAGTCTAGGTAGCTTTGTGCACCGCCGCACTTTAGAGGCTTTGCCTAGAATAGACTTTTTCCTTTGCCACCAATCACTTCTGGCAGCTGTCTGGTTATGTGTCAGACATCCTCGAGGGGCTCTGCAAGCAACATCCTGAGCCCCTATTTGGGAGCATCTAAGGTGGCCCCGAGTGGGGCAGACATCCTTGCTCGAACAGGCTCCACAGACTTTTCTGCTGGGCGACCGGAGCCGAGAACCACTGCTCCCCTGGGGTAGCCCTGAGCGATGAAATCAGGGCCAGTAGAGGGCACTAAGGCAGCTGCCCCTCCTTCGACGTAGTGATTCATGGTGTGAAAGGAAGCTAACCAGGAGGAAGGAGCCTTGGGCGGGCGGGTGGGCGTGTGTGTGTGTGTGTGTGTGTGTGTGTGTGTGTGTGTGTGTGTAAGNGAGAGAGACAGAGCCCGAGTGGGGAAGGAACAGAGAGAGAGAGAGAGAGAGAGAGAGACAGAATCTGAAGCAGGCTCCAGGCCCTGAGCTGTCAGCACAGAGCCAGATGTGGAGCTCGAACTCACGAACTGCAAGATCATGACCTGAGCCAAAGTAGGATGCTTAACTGACTGAGCCACCCAGGCGCTCCTGACTGAGATTATTTCTACTGCACATATGGAAAAGGTTTGAAAAGAAGATGACTTGTCATAGTAGGGGAGTTGGGGGAAGTTACATATCTTTCTTTCTTTCTTTCTCTCTCTCTCTCTCTGTTTATTTTTGAGAGAGACAGAGCATGAGTGGGATAGGAGCAGAGGGGGAGCAAGACACAGAATCCAAAGCAGGCTCCGGGCTCTGAGCTCTCAGCACAGACCTGTCACGGGGCTCAAACCCGTGAACCGCGAGATTGTGACCTGAGCTGAAGTTGGACACTTAACCAACTGAGCCACCCAGGTGCCCCCAAAAGTTACATTTCTTGCACAGGAGTCTGTGACCAGGAGATTGGCAGTCCTACAAATCAGAAACCTCTCACAAGCAAATGTAAAATTGCAACTGTTAGAGAAGCTACAAGGTGAGACCCAGGGTGCTACCGGAGCCTGTTCCAGAAGAAAGAGACCCCTAGCTTAGGCAGGGAGTAATGAGGGTCCACAGGAAGATGGATGGATGCGGCTGAAAAACATCTGAAGAAGAGAAACAACTGGAGGAGGCGAGGGGCTGCTTGCTGCTGAGCTGGGTAGTGTGGGGAGAAGGCAGCATTAGAAGGCTGATTCCCGGAGGACGTGAAAAGAGTTCTGTTTTAGAGGGTTGAGGTTCAGGAACTGTTTCAACATCTAAGGGGAGCTCACCTATGGCAGCCAATGTGAGAGCGGCAACTTGGGTTTTTTTGTCTTTCATGTTGGCTCTTGTACTTCATGGTATCCCCACACCTCACTGTGAAGTGAAGTATTTTAGGAACTTACAGTGCTGTATAGTAAAGTTGAAACAGCTGAGGTTAAGAGGGATGAAGCAATAGTGCCTAGAATCACAAAGCACGCAAGGGATCACCTGATTCCAAAACCTTAGTGGTTCCCCCACAATCTTGCCTTTTTTTTGTGTGTAGAAACGGGGTCTGGGAGTTGGTTCTTCTCTTTCTCTATAATTGAGTGAACATTCGGGAGCCATCGGCAGGGTTCGGGTGCGTCATTGCTCTCAGGGGGAGCGGACGCATCCTCGCGGAGCTGGTACCTCTTACCACTCCCCTAACACCTTTTTTCCTTTGTGCCTTTTTAGCGCGAAAGCGCCTCACAAGACCAGGTGCCTCTTGGCTAGAACTACATTTCCCACAATGCCCGGGAGGTACTGCCTAGCCTGAAACTACATTGCCCGGAAGGCTAAGGGCTTGAGGAGAGAGACAGGCTTCGACTCCGAATTTCAAACATTCAGTTCACTTAGTGTACAGCCCAGATATAGCCACTTCTTCCCCCTTTTCTGCCAGAAACTTCCGTTCCCAGCTCGAGCTTCCGATCCCACTCTTTTTTTTTTTTTTGGTGGGGAGGCTCGGGGGGTTGGGGAGAAGAAACGTGAGCAAGAGGGCAGTGCGCATGCGCCCATCGCCCAGGGTTTGGGCGGAGAGGGGGACCGGCAAGTCCCCGGGCTCATCCCGCCTTGCGCGTGCGCAGACGATAAACCAACGCCCCGGAGTTGAGGCGCGGGCTTGGTGGCGCGTTTTAGCGAAGTCGCACGTGAAGGGCAGTAGTGGCCGGAGCCCGGTGAGTGCCAGTCGAGACCGGAGTTCGGGGGCAGAACGCGGGACGGGGAGGCGGCAGCCGCTGCAGGTGGGAGCAGGGCGGAGTCGCGAGGCCTGGCGGACACGCGTGGGGAGGGGTCCGACGGCGTCCGGCGGGGGGAAACAAACTGGGGACCCGGATCCTCGTTGCTATGCGACAGGGGGCGTCGTTACTAGGTAACAGGAGGCACGCGTTTCCGGGGTGAAAAGGGTTCAGAGCGCTGCTCAGAGGTCCGGCGGAGGCGGGGCGACTGTCAGGCTGGGGTAGGAGGCTAGCGCTGAGCCCCTCGCCCCCGCCCCACGGCCCAGCTTCCCGCCGCATCGCTTTGAGCCCCTTGGGGGTATCCCGAGCCCCTTGGGGTACCCAGAACCCATGGGCCGCGCCGCGTGCCTTGCCAGCGAAGCCACCCAGCAGAGTTTGGCAGGGGACTTGCTGTTCGAAATAGCACATGCCACCGACACCCTGTCTGGGGGAGGCTGGGCCCTGGGGAGGAAGCTGCCCCTTTGCCCGTCGCCCTGCCCCCAAACAGTTGCTGGGAAGCAGCTGTCAGGGGTTTAGCGGGGGCTGCCCCCACCTGCCGGGACGCTGACTTCATTTTCTTCAGTGGCAGCTTCGCCGGTCAAGGAGCTTCCTTTCAACGCAGCTGTGCTTCCCCAGCGGCCGCCGCATGTTTGGATCAACCTTAAAATAAGCCTCCTCTCCCCACTTCTCCTTTGCTACCTTGGCGAGCTTCTAATACTCATCTAACGAGCATCTATTAGTCATCGTTCTGTGCTAGGCACCCAAAAAAGTTGTAAAGTCCAACCGGAGGCGCGCGGAGACTAATGGGGGAGGCAGGCATAGAAACCGCTAAATTATGCTACAGTGTAAACAGCGGGTATTGGCAGTTTGTGGACTGCAACATTTCTATTGACGCTTAAGGTTTAGAAAGTTCTTGCAGAAACACATAACAAATAGTTCTTAAGCCTGCTGAACCCCGTTTGACACGGAGGAGACTGAAACTCAGGGTAAGCAATGGGCATAAGGTGGCGGCTTCTAATGGAGACTGGGATGGAAGTCTAGGTAGCTTTGTGCACCGCCGCACTTTAGAGGCTTTGCCTAGAATAGACTTTTTCCTTTGCCACCAATCACTTCTGGCAGCTGTCTGGTTATGTGTCAGACATCCTCGAGGGGCTCTGCAAGCAACATCCTGAGCCCCTATTTGGGAGCATCTAAGGTGGCCCCGAGTGGGGCAGACATCCTTGCTCGAACAGGCTCCACAGACTTTTCTGCTGGGCGACCGGAGCCGAGAACCACTGCTCCCCTGGGGTAGCCCTGAGCGATGAAATCAGGGCCAGTAGAGGGCACTAAGGCAGCTGCCCCTCCTTCGACGTAGTGATTCATGGTGTGAAAGGAAGCTAACCAGGAGGAAGGAGCCGGGGGGTTGGGCGGGCGGGTGGGCGTGTGTGTGTGTGTGTGTGTGTGTGTGTGTGTGTGTGTAAGTGTAAGGAGCCTTGGCAGGGTGGGGTGTGTGTGTGTGTCTGGACTGCCCCACCCTGCCCTCTTGGCAAACCACAGCTAAACATATAGTGCCTTCTCGCTACCATAGTCAGGTGAAGCAGTTTCCCCAGCTGAGCCGGGTTCTCCTGGCCCTGCCCCAGCTACCTGGACAGAAGTGGCAGGGCTGGCCCCAGCCTTCTGCTGTCCTCGTACCTCTGGGTACAAAACCATGACCTGTAAGTGCAGCAGGTGGGTCAGCTCCTGGTGGGGACTCTCACTTTGAGCTTTGTTGATATTTGGTGGAACTTTTAAGTGCCCTGAGGACTACATTTTCCTGAGGCCGCATCGGGGTGTGGAACAAGCAGAAAGGCAAGATTTGGATCCTGGGTTCTCTCTTTTTTTTTTTTAACTTTTTTTTTAATGTTTTATTTCTTCCTGAGAGAGAGACAGACAGACAGACAGACAGCATGAGCAGGGGAGATATAGAATCTGAAGCAGGCTCCAGGCTCTGAGCTGTCAGCACAGAGCCTGACACGGGGCTCGAACCCACGAACTGTAAGATCATGACCTGAGCTGAAGTCGGACGCTTAACCGACTGAGGCACCCAGGTGCCCCTGGATCCTGAGTTCTCGAAGCACGTCTCACCCAGTTCTGCCGCGTGAGTTTGAAGATCTCGCATGACCTCTCTAAGCCATAGTTTTTCTGAGTAAAATGAAGAATAGTGGCACCTTGTAAGATGGCTGTAAGAGTTCAATGATGTAGCGAAATACCAAAGCATTTTGTAAATTATAAAGCACCATACACACACACAAGTAAACATCTATGCTTAACATCATCCATACACACACACTGAACTGGGGCAGGTGGCCACTTGTATGTATAAATAGAAATACACACAATATGTTGAGCGCCTACCATTTGAGGCCAGGCACTGCGGCAGCTGAAGATGTTTAAGATCCACTTCCTCTCAGAGCTTAAGACTGCTTCGGCCCTTGACTGCCACGGCTTCTCTTTATGAAAAGTATTTGGTTGGGCTGCAGTGAGGAGGTGTGATGACAGTGAGTCTGATTCTTGTTGCGCAGAAATAGCCTGGAAGAAATGAGAAGGACTTCTGTTGAACAGTCTGAAGAAACGGACCCGCCAATGATCTGCGCTCTTATCTGTAGATTCAACCCTCTAGAATCCTGTTGGGTTTGGTTTCTGGTGCACTTCACAAGGCCAGCTGGCCAGGCGGTGATGGCCTTGCTGCGGAGGGTTTATTCCAAGGTACCCCAGCTCCTGTTGACTGAGGCAGATGGCTGCTTGGAAGTTGAGGCTAGCACAGAATGCGGGAGGCTGCCATGGGGGGAGCAGCTCACATCACCCTGACCTTCTAGAATGGAGGAGATGACATCTGATCCCTCCTGGTGGAGGTCCTTGGATATAGGATCCAACCCAAGATAGCAACCCTGCTCGTTAAGTCCCCAGTGTGGTTATGACCCAGATAGCTCAGGAACTGACCTGTGCCTCCCTCATGTATCACCACCAGAAGCCAGGAACCATCTGGTTCTTGATTTCTGCCAAAGAGAGAGAAGAGCAAAAGGCTTCCCAGCCTGAGGCTGCTCCCCATGAATGCATGCTTTATAGCCCTGCACTCCACAGACCTCAAGAGGAACTTCGGGCAGGTGTTCCTGGGCCAGAGGTGCCCCGAATATTATTTTTATAACTGTTCCTTGGATTCTTCTCCTTTCCACAAAGAATGGAAACATCTTCCCTCTCCTCCGCCCTGATGGCTCTGATTTCTGGGTAACCCCCTGAGGGATCTGGTAACTGCAAAAGCTTCAAACACCTGGCTGTTCCGACATCAGGGGCATGGCTTAGCCTCTGATCGTCGGGTCTGAATCATGAAACTCCCTGGAGCTACAGGTTCATTTCGGACCCTGCAAGAGAAGCGGGGATTTGCCGGTGCTGTTTGACATCTCTCAAGCACCGTGATACATAAAGTGGACCTGCAAACAGGTTTTTTGGCTGATCCACACCCGCTTTATGAATCGATACTTGTTGGGTCTTAACCTTGCCTGTGGCATCCATGTTATGGATGAGCTCAGAACACAAAGCGGTTAAGTGAATTGTCACCAATAGTAATTCACGGAGATGGTCGGAGATGATCGGTAGATGCAAAGTTTATTTTAGCTCTTGAATGATCTATCGTGTGACTTTCTAAATCACTTTAAAAAAAAATTTTTTTTTATATGTTTTATTTCTGAGAGAGAGAGAGAGACAGCCAGCATGAGCAGGGGAGGGTCAGAGAGAGATGGAGACAGAGAATCTGAAACAGGCTCCAGGCTCTGAGCTGTCAGCACAGAGCCCAACCTGGGGCTCAAACCCACGAACCATGAGATCATGACCTAAGTCAAAGTCGGATGCTTAACTGACTGAGCCACCCAGGCACCCCTCACTTTTTTTTTTTTCTTTTTGAGAGAGAAAGAGAGTACTCTTGAGCCAGCAGGGGAGAGGCAGAAGAAAAGGTAGAGAATCTTAAGCAGGCTTCATACCCAGCACGGAGCCCAACTCTGGACTCCATCTCACGACTGAGATCATGACCTGAGCCAAAATCAAGAGTTGTACGCTTACCTGACTGAGCCATCCAGGCGCCCCTTAAATCACTTTTGAGACTGACTTGGGAGATGATATGGTAGGGCAGTGTGTGCGAGGGGTCTGATACCAGATGCATCTGGGTTCAAATCCTGTTTGTTTTATTTTTTTCCCTCCTTTACTGCTTATTCTACCTCAGTTTCTTTATCAGTAAAATGGAGAACAGTAACAATGCCTGCCTGGTGGTGGCCAATTATATGAGATAGGTGGCATGTGGTTAGCTTTTTACTAACGATAATATCTTTCCCTAAAGGCTGCGCTCTAACTAACCCTTTGCTTACATTAGGGGCGAGTGGGGGAGGGATTGAGATCGTTCTGTGTCAGTGGGTCTTAACCTGGCACAGCGGAATCACCTGGGGAGCTTTTGCACGTTCAAGCCTAAGTCACACCCAGATAGTGACACCGGAACGTCTGAACTTGGGACAGAGGTGTCAGTAGTTTATGAAGCTCCCAGGTGATTTCCAAAGAGTGGCCACTGTTGAGATCCGCGGTGTTCCCTTCTCTCCCAAATAAGTGTGCAATTTGGAAGCAGAGGCTTGGCTTCAAATCCTGACCTTTCTACTTAGTCCAGTGACCCCTAGCAACGCTTAACCCTTGAGCCTGTTTCTTCCCATTTGTTACGAATAGGAGCGAGGACGCTAATACCACCTCTCATGGTGGGTCCTGCAGAGCGGAAGGGATGTGTGCAGGTGTGTTCTCGCCTGAGCACATACCCGCGCACTTTTCTTTACATCACGACACAGCAGTAATCTTATTTGCGTGCTATTTTCTAAGTTGGTTTTTATGTCAGCTTTATCTTAAGTAGATTATAACCTCCCCGGGGACAAAGCCTCATACTTTTTTTTATGCCCATAACACCTAAGACCCAGAGATGGGCCTTCAGGTTTTTAGAACTGGAACAACCCTAGATCTCCTCGTCTCCCCTAAGGACTTGAACAATGCTTGCTGATTTACGAACGAGCAAGTGGTAAAGAATGGGGAAGAGGAACCCATGAATCAGATGGTCGTGCCCAGCTGAAGTTGAAAGGCCCACTCCTGCCTTTCTCAGCTCGCGGGGCAGGGGCGGAGGAGGGCGTTAGGGCCGGTCACAGCTGCGCCGGTGGGTGTCCACGCCCCTTCCGGCGCTCCGCTCACCCTGTGCTTCTTTCCCGGCAGACCCAGCCATGGCAGGCCCAGGCAGCAGCTCGCCGCGGGGCAAGCACGAGTTCAGAGTCGTCCTGACGGCCCTAGTGGCCCTCGTCCTCCTCCACTCGGCATCATCCCAGTCCCGTGCAGACTTTGTGCCACCAGGCCAGCAGAAGAGGGAGGCCCCGGTTGATCTCTTGAGCCAGATAGGTCGGTCTTTGCGGGCAACGCTGGATGCCTGGCTTGGCCCTGAGACCATGCACCTGATTTCCGAGGTAAGGAAGGTGGCTCCTGTGGTGACTGCACGCACGGAAGAAAGATAAAGGAGGAGACATCGTTCGCGGCCACCCCATCCTGGCTCCACATCCTCCCTGTGTCATAATCCCCGCAGCGGAGAGCCAGCCCCACGTTCTCTCCAAGACGCAGCCAGACAGTTCCTGCTTTTTCGCAATCCCATTGTTTGATTCCTACCTCAGGGCCTGTAGCTCTCCCTTTCCCCTTGTTCCTCCCTCTCTTGTCAGAAAGACTGGGAAACGAGCCAGTCTTTACAAACCCATGTCACCGGATGACCATAGAGTCTGACTTTGGTCTAAACCTGACCTGAGGTCTTAAATTGGCAGAGTCTCAAGCCCTGAAAATCCCTTCCCCTCTAGAGGCAGAGGTAGGCGTGACTCAGGGACTTCAGGCAGGGCTGTCTCTTCCACCTGATGACATCCCAGGTGTGGCATTGCTTTCTTTCGATAGGTCGTTCTAAACAGTTGGGACGATCGTTGATAAAATCCATAATCAAGCAGCACTGATGGACTCCTTCTTCCCTGAAACCTCCTGGCCCTTCACAGATGTTCTTTCCACAACTCCATGATTCTCTGGGAGGACCCCACTTCTACAGGGTGACTACTGTAGAGATTTGATGTCCACCCCCCAACCCAACACACACACATTCACCTACTACCATCACCAAAGTATTCTAGCAAATCAGCTGAATTAGTGCCCAGATGTCCTGAGTTCCAATTCAGGAAGGAGAAATGGCCTGCTGCCCGAGCTTGGTGGGCAGACCTCTGGCTGAGAAGGAGGTGAAGGACATTCCCTCCTGGCCTTGCCTGGGCACTGGTTGGAGGCTTAAAGAAGGGCATGACTGATTACGAGCTCATCTCCTGCCCTGCTCTTTCCGCAGACCTTGTCTCAGGTGATGTGGGCCATCTCGTCAGCCATCTCGGTGGCCTTCTTCGCGCTGTCTGGGATTGGCGCGCAGCTGCTGAATGCCTTGGGGCTGGATGGTGAGTGGCACCGTACTGGTTAGGTCCCCTGGGGCTTAGCCAGTCCCTTCCTGTTTGTGGGAGCTTTATCTTTTCGGGGCCCGGACATTTCCCCAGGTGCGCAACACCTGCCAGGTTTCCCCAGAGGCAAACGTAAGAGCGGGCCGATGGCTGCCGCTACCTACCAGGTGTTGGCTTCCTGTCTAGCAAGGCATTGTGCTCAGCCGTAGTGGCTCATTTAATTGCTACCCACTACCCAGAGCATCACTCCCATCTTACAGCGGAACCAGGTTCAACCGAGGGAGGTAATCCGCCCCCAGCCGCGGGAACAGGAGCTGACGATCAAGCTCCTATCTCTGTGACCCTGTGGGGGAAGGATTTTGCCTTTGCAGGGGGTTTTAGCTCCTTTCTGGGTCTGTCATCCGCCCCCCCCCCCCCCGGCCCTCCCCACTCGAGGTTGGCTGATTGTGTGGTTCTCCCTCTTCCAGGAGATCACCTTACCCAGGGCCTGAAGCTCAGCCCCAGCCAGGTCCAGACCTTCCTGCTGTGGGGAGCAGGGGCCCTAGTCGTCTACTGGCTTCTGTCCCTGCTGCTTGGCCTGGTGTTGGCCTTGCTGGGCCGGATCCTCTGGGGCCTGAAGCTTGTCCTCTTCCTGGCCGGCTTTGTGGCCCTGGTGAGGTCGGTGCCTGACCCTTCCACCCGGGCCTTGCTCCTCCTGGCCTTGCTGACCCTCTACGCTTTGCTGAGCCGGCTCACTGGCACCCGGGCCTCAGGGGCCCAACTGGAGGCCAAGGTTCGAGGCCTGGAGCGCCAGGTGGAAGAGCTGCGCTGGCGACAGAGGCGGGCGGCCAAGGGGCCCCGGGGTGTGGAGGAGGAGTGAGGGGTCGCCGGGACAAGGCCACCTTCATCGTCATTGTCGTCGTCGTTCTCCTCCTCACCATTGTACCAAAGAGCTGCACTGCTTCTGGATCGCACAGCCCTCCTTCCAGCCCCTGCCCAGTCTCTGACTGTCACAACCTTCCTGTCTTCACCAGACCCTCCTGGCTGAGAAAGAGGCAGACTGTTCCCCCTGCCGGTCCCCAGGGGGCCCTGCCTTCTGGGGTTCTCTGTCTGGGATTGGTTCTCTTAACCCTTTCTCTGCTCCCAGCCTGCCTCAGTCGGGGCGGGTTGGAAGGGCCTCCCCTGTGGCTCGGTGAACCACCCTGAGTGGGGAACATCACTGCCACTGGGCTCCTGGGACTCAGCCGGCTCCCCTCTGCCGCCGCCTTGCCTCCCTCCTGATGCGCTCCCGTCCTTCTGTGGCCCCTCCTCTGCCAGGCTTCCTTCCTCGCTGGTCTCCTTCCGGCCCTGGCCCGTGCTCTGCCTGAACCCCGTCCCTCCAGGCGAGCTGCTGTCCTCCTCATTGCCCAGCCCTGGGGAAGAGGCAGGGCACGCGGGACCTGAGGGGCAGGGAAAGGGGAGGTTCCCACACGGGGCCGGCAGCAAGGACATACACCATACGTGGAGTCTGTTCTAAGTGCCTTAATCCGAGCCAGCAGGGCCCTCTGCCTGCCCGCCGCTGTACTGTATGTAGGAAAGTGCACTGTGGCTGCTTTGTGTCAAGAAGAGAGTTTTCCTCTGAGGTTCTCGATTCCCCCTTCAGCCAAAGCAAAAGGTGACTGCTTCATAGGCTCGTGCCTGCAAGTGGGACCCTACAGTGGCCCTCAGATCCCCTATGGGGATTTCAGACACTGAAGGAGAAAGGGGAACTCACCTGTCTGCCCAGCTCCAGATGGTTCTCCACCCCTCTCCCTCCACTCACTGCCACGGGGAAGTTGCCCATCAGGGTGGTGGCCCAGGAGGAGTGCGGAGCTGCACACCACGGCCCCTCCCTTCACCCGCTCCCAGAGGGGCAGGGTGAGGCGGCCATAGCACCCTCTCCTCCAGGGCTCCCATTCTTCCTCCGAGGTTCTGGGGGAGGTGTGTCCTCAGCCAGGCCCAGCGCATGACGTGAAGAATGAATTAAACGCCCAGTTCTTAACTGTTAAGGTTTGATGTGGAATCACAGCTGCAGTGTGATATATTTTTATTGGCGCTTGGTTGGTTTTAAATAAAATGCACGCTATTTTATTATCTTGTTCCATATAAAATGTATTTACTCAAAGTCTGGATTGCTTTCATTTCTCCCTCCAACTAAATCCATTCCTGTAGAGCCGCCTGTTTTCTTGACTTCTTCCTGCGGGAGCAGTGTGAAGCTGGTGGGGCGGGGGGGCAAAAAAGAATTGCTAGTACCAGGTACCCTTCCCTCGTGGAGTGTACGGAATGAGGAAGGCATGCCGCCCTTTACAAAACTTCCAGGAACTGGCCCACCGCACAGGTGGAATAGTGGGGGTGTGCCGGAGGGCAAGGAAGATACCCTTTCCCCATTAGGCGTAAGAGTATGAAAGGCTGGTGGGCCGGTGACCACAGAATTGCCTGCCCTCACCGCGCACAGGAGTTTCCTGCATTGTGGTTCTCAACCTGGCTGTAAGATCAGTTGCTTTGTAGAGGGGTCCAGGCATGTTCTTCCCCCCACCCCCGCCGCCTTTTTTAAGCTGCCCAGGAGCAGCGGGGCCCTCACCCTTCCTAGGCCCACAGGCCTCTCCCAGCGCTGGGGCTCGGCAGCAAACTCCAGCTGTCCGCCCCTGAGAACTTGCTCCACGGGAGTGACCCAGGGCTCTATCAGCGAAGGCCCAGGTGATCGTTGCCTGGGCCCTGTTGGCCGCTCTCTCCCCCTTTCCACCCTTGCAGTACGTCTCTGAATTCCAGTCCTGGTTCAGGTGTGGACGCCTCTACAGGTGAGTTGATCGCGGGGCGGGCGTGAGGCACAGGAAGTGGCCGTTTCCTCCACGGGCAGGAGCTTCCGAGAGGCACGCGAAGCGAACGCATCGAATCCCTCTCGGCAGAGGCGGGTCACCCCCGTGGTTCAGTCCCCAGGGAAGCGGCCTTCTCCGCGACCTCGTGCACAGGGGGCGCTCGGGGCCCGGGGATCCGTAGGGCACTAGGACCCGGCGGGGCGGAGGGGCAGCCCATGTGCCGCGCTCGCTCCCTCCCACCCTCCTGCTCCAGCTCCCGCTCCATTGTCTGGGAGCTGCGGCCGCGGGCAGGCGGCCGGGCGGGCGGCGGCGGGGACCCAGCCGGCCGGGTCGGGGCGGCGCGGAGCGGGCGCGGGAGATGCCGGGCGGCCGGGGGGCCACCTGAGCCGCCCGCCTAGTCCCCGCCCTCCACGGGAAGGATGTGCGCCGGGATGGCGGGGCGCGCGGCAGCTGCTCCCCGGGGGCCCTGCGGCCCCTNGTTGACTGAGGCAGATGGCTGCTTGGAAGTTGAGGCTAGCACAGAATGCGGGAGGCTGCCATGGGGGGAGCAGCTCACATCACCCTGACCTTCTAGAATGGAGGAGATGACATCTGATCCCTCCTGGTGGAGGTCCTTGGATATAGGATCCAACCCAAGATAGCAACCCTGCTCGTTAAGTCCCCAGTGTGGTTATGACCCAGATAGCTCAGGAACTGACCTGTGCCTCCCTCATGTATCACCACCAGAAGCCAGGAACCATCTGGTTCTTGATTTCTGCCAAAGAGAGAGAAGAGCAAAAGGCTTCCCAGCCTGAGGCTGCTCCCCATGAATGCATGCTTTATAGCCCTGCACTCCACAGACCTCAAGAGGAACTTCGGGCAGGTGTTCCTGGGCCAGAGGTGCCCCGAATATTATTTTTATAACTGTTCCTTGGATTCTTCTCCTTTCCACAAAGAATGGAAACATCTTCCCTCTCCTCCGCCCTGATGGCTCTGATTTCTGGGTAACCCCCTGAGGGATCTGGTAACTGCAAAAGCTTCAAACACCTGGCTGTTCCGACATCAGGGGCATGGCTTAGCCTCTGATCGTCGGGTCTGAATCATGAAACTCCCTGGAGCTACAGGTTCATTTCGGACCCTGCAAGAGAAGCGGGGATTTGCCGGTGCTGTTTGACATCTCTCAAGCACCGTGATACATAAAGTGGACCTGCAAACAGGTTTTTTGGCTGATCCACACCCGCTTTATGAATCGATACTTGTTGGGTCTTAACCTTGCCTGTGGCATCCATGTTATGGATGAGCTCAGAACACAAAGCGGTTAAGTGAATTGTCACCAATAGTAATTCACGGAGATGGTCGGAGATGATCGGTAGATGCAAAGTTTATTTTAGCTCTTGAATGATCTATCGTGTGACTTTCTAAATCACTTTAAAAAAAATTTTTTTTTATATGTTTTATTTCTGAGAGAGAGAGAGAGACAGCCAGCATGAGCAGGGGAGGGTCAGAGAGAGATGGAGACAGAGAATCTGAAACAGGCTCCAGGCTCTGAGCTGTCAGCACAGAGCCCAACCTGGGGCTCAAACCCACGAACCATGAGATCATGACCTAAGTCAAAGTCGGATGCTTAACTGACTGAGCCACCCAGGCACCCCTCACTTTTTTTTTTTTCTTTTTGAGAGAGAAAGAGAGTACTCTTGAGCCAGCAGGGGAGAGGCAGAAGAAAAGGTAGAGAATCTTAAGCAGGCTTCATACCCAGCACGGAGCCCAACTCTGGACTCCATCTCACGACTGAGATCATGACCTGAGCCAAAATCAAGAGTTGTACGCTTACCTGACTGAGCCATCCAGGCGCCCCTTAAATCACTTTTGAGACTGACTTGGGAGATGATATGGTAGGGCAGTGTGTGCGAGGGGTCTGATACCAGATGCATCTGGGTTCAAATCCTGTTTGTTTTATTTTTTTCCCTCCTTTACTGCTTATTCTACCTCAGTTTCTTTATCAGTAAAATGGAGAACAGTAACAATGCCTGCCTGGTGGTGGCCAATTATATGAGATAGGTGGCATGTGGTTAGCTTTTTACTAACGATAATATCTTTCCCTAAAGGCTGCGCTCTAACTAACCCTTTGCTTACATTAGGGGCGAGTGGGGGAGGGATTGAGATCGTTCTGTGTCAGTGGGTCTTAACCTGGCACAGCGGAATCACCTGGGGAGCTTTTGCACGTTCAAGCCTAAGTCACACCCAGATAGTGACACCGGAACGTCTGAACTTGGGACAGAGGTGTCAGTAGTTTATGAAGCTCCCAGGTGATTTCCAAAGAGTGGCCACTGTTGAGATCCGCGGTGTTCCCTTCTCTCCCAAATAAGTGTGCAATTTGGAAGCAGAGGCTTGGCTTCAAATCCTGACCTTTCTACTTAGTCCAGTGACCCCTAGCAACGCTTAACCCTTGAGCCTGTTTCTTCCCATTTGTTACGAATAGGAGCGAGGACGCTAATACCACCTCTCATGGTGGGTCCTGCAGAGCGGAAGGGATGTGTGCAGGTGTGTTCTCGCCTGAGCACATACCCGCGCACTTTTCTTTACATCACGACACAGCAGTAATCTTATTTGCGTGCTATTTTCTAAGTTGGTTTTTATGTCAGCTTTATCTTAAGTAGATTATAACCTCCCCGGGGACAAAGCCTCATACTTTTTTTTATGCCCATAACACCTAAGACCCAGAGATGGGCCTTCAGGTTTTTAGAACTGGAACAACCCTAGATCTCCTCGTCTCCCCTAAGGACTTGAACAATGCTTGCTGATTTACGAACGAGCAAGTGGTAAAGAATGGGGAAGAGGAACCCATGAATCAGATGGTCGTGCCCAGCTGAAGTTGAAAGGCCCACTCCTGCCTTTCTCAGCTCGCGGGGCAGGGGCGGAGGAGGGCGTTAGGGCCGGTCACAGCTGCGCCGGTGGGTGTCCACGCCCCTTCCGGCGCTCCGCTCACCCTGTGCTTCTTTCCCGGCAGACCCAGCCATGGCAGGCCCAGGCAGCAGCTCGCCGCGGGGCAAGCACGAGTTCAGAGTCGTCCTGACGGCCCTAGTGGCCCTCGTCCTCCTCCACTCGGCATCATCCCAGTCCCGTGCAGACTTTGTGCCACCAGGCCAGCAGAAGAGGGAGGCCCCGGTTGATCTCTTGAGCCAGATAGGTCGGTCTTTGCGGGCAACGCTGGATGCCTGGCTTGGCCCTGAGACCATGCACCTGATTTCCGAGGTAAGGAAGGTGGCTCCTGTGGTGACTGCACGCACGGAAGAAAGATAAAGGAGGAGACATCGTTCGCGGCCACCCCATCCTGGCTCCACATCCTCCCTGTGTCATAATCCCCGCAGCGGAGAGCCAGCCCCACGTTCTCTCCAAGACGCAGCCAGACAGTTCCTGCTTTTTCGCAATCCCATTGTTTGATTCCTACCTCAGGGCCTGTAGCTCTCCCTTTCCCCTTGTTCCTCCCTCTCTTGTCAGAAAGACTGGGAAACGAGCCAGTCTTTACAAACCCATGTCACCGGATGACCATAGAGTCTGACTTTGGTCTAAACCTGACCTGAGGTCTTAAATTGGCAGAGTCTCAAGCCCTGAAAATCCCTTCCCCTCTAGAGGCAGAGGTAGGCGTGACTCAGGGACTTCAGGCAGGGCTGTCTCTTCCACCTGATGACATCCCAGGTGTGGCATTGCTTTCTTTCGATAGGTCGTTCTAAACAGTTGGGACGATCGTTGATAAAATCCATAATCAAGCAGCACTGATGGACTCCTTCTTCCCTGAAACCTCCTGGCCCTTCACAGATGTTCTTTCCACAACTCCATGATTCTCTGGGAGGACCCCACTTCTACAGGGTGACTACTGTAGAGATTTGATGTCCACCCCCCAACCCAACACACACACATTCACCTACTACCATCACCAAAGTATTCTAGCAAATCAGCTGAATTAGTGCCCAGATGTCCTGAGTTCCAATTCAGGAAGGAGAAATGGCCTGCTGCCCGAGCTTGGTGGGCAGACCTCTGGCTGAGAAGGAGGTGAAGGACATTCCCTCCTGGCCTTGCCTGGGCACTGGTTGGAGGCTTAAAGAAGGGCATGACTGATTACGAGCTCATCTCCTGCCCTGCTCTTTCCGCAGACCTTGTCTCAGGTGATGTGGGCCATCTCGTCAGCCATCTCGGTGGCCTTCTTCGCGCTGTCTGGGATTGGCGCGCAGCTGCTGAATGCCTTGGGGCTGGATGGTGAGTGGCACCGTACTGGTTAGGTCCCCTGGGGCTTAGCCAGTC